AATTTCGTGCAATTTGGTTTCAAGTAGAACATAAGGTTGACGGAAACTCGGGGACTGCGCCTACCCGATGAGCCCCCAAAAGGGCGAAACCGGTGGTGGGCTGTCGACGGATTTTCAGCAACCCTATGAGTAGTACATTACAAAGATACAATATGCCTTTCATTATTCCCGTTTTTTCATCACAACAGTTGCTGGACCAAGCAGCCAAACTTTGTAGCCCATCGATCAGAATCAAAAGGTAAAGTCCAATAATCCATCGTAAACCGAATCTGTGCCAACAAGACAGTGTGACATTTCTGGAACATGCAGGTCGTAAATGCGTATGCATAGCTAACCAGTTTCAACACCAAAAAGAGGAAATCACAGCGTGCAAAAAGTCACAATTATTGATCAAGGAAGGAGATAGTTGAAGAGATAACAAGAATCAACCAGTGATATACATGGCAGTTCAGAAGGCTCTAAAAACACCTAGTATTATTAGCAAGGGTGGTGATAGTTGTTTGAAGAAGATAACAAGTCACAACAAATCACGAAATAATGAGTAAAAATAGAACGAAATACACATACAACGGGGTTAGAAGCGAGTGGGGGACTGTACAGGTGGGAAGGACCGATCGATCACAATTAATCACCGTTCACCATCTGATCGATCGATGTGAAAGATAGCTTTGATGAAGAAAATGGAACTCCCTAAACAAATCAGCGCAAAAATACAAGACAAAAAAGAAAAGGGAACCGGGCCATTCACTGGGAGGTTATCAGGACAGGGCGGTGAATTGCACGGGGAGCTGGGAATATATGCACACAAAGACACACAATGCATGGTGAAGTAGACAGGGAGCTATACAGTGGGTGGCTGAGGTCCTCCAACTACGCGCTAGTCATCACAAGACCTACCGAAGAGAAGTTAGTTGGTGGTGATATGGAAACCATAGGAATAGTTGGCTTGAACCATAAACCATTTTGAGTGTTGTCACTCCGGTTCTCCGGAAGCAAAGTGGGGTCATCAGGTGAATGCAAGCCTGCATACTGGAACTCCAGAACAAATTCACTCTCCGCATCATGATTCGGGTGAATTCCGCCAACACAGATTGCCGCAGGCTGAGGAGGGATTCCAAATAAGTAGGACCAGAACGAGCGCGGTGCCGCAATGCATTCATCTAACTCGCTGGGGGCACCCAGAAGACGAGATCGTGGGACTGTGTTGCAATGTGACAGAAGTGGATATGAATGTGAGTATCCAGCGAAATCTGATTTAAATAATAACTGAAAGCAGATGACAGTAATAGAAGTTGGCGATTCGTGTACGAAAGCATCATCGCGAACTCCCACTTAAACCGGAGAACTTGTTGCACAGCTAATGAGTTATATATATATA